TAAGACTTGCTTTTGTCCTAAAATATGATCTATTTGGTAGAATATTTCATAAGCTGCAGAAAAGAATGTGTGTTGCTTACTTGTTAAGTGAAATACTCTGTAGATATCAACCATGTCTATTTGGTCTAATATGTGGAATAGCTCTGAAGTTACTTGGTTGATCTTTTGTCTGGATTATCTATCTATTTTTGACAGTGGGGTATCCAGGCCTCCTTCTATCACTGTATTAGTGCCTATCTGTGCTTTTTTTTAATGTAGATTGGTGCCCTGGTGTTTGGTATATGTTAAGGATTGATATTTCCTGTTGATGTATTGTTCCTTTCATTAATATTAAGTGACCTTCATTAATGAAGTGACATTCATTAATATGAATTTTTCTCCTCTGATTTTAGTGTAAATCTACTCTTATCAGATATGAGCATAGCTACTTCTGCTTGTTTATGAGGTCCATTTAATTTGAAAAATTCTTTCAAATCATCCTATTTCATGCACATTTTAAACGTTTTTTGAGAATATAGAACATTTCAAACAATGTTCAGCATATCTGGAGAACAGCACCCAGATTTGAGTTTGTGCATTAACCATGTCTTTATGAAACAAACATCCAAAATTGTGTTTGTAAAAGAACAACAGATGATGGCTTCATGCCTCTTTGAAAATTACCAGTTAGTTCTTCCTTTTCTGACAGAGATCTATGGTATCCAATATACTTACTCATGTGCAACTAGAGTTGAAACAATTCAACAGATATCCTGTTCAATTAGAAGCTAATGTTACATCACATGGCAAGTTTAAGTTAATACACAGATAGAAAACAAGAGATTCCAAAAGTCTTATTGTATCAAAGGCAACTGTGAGAAAACTTGAACTGTTACATCAACGATATTGCTAACATTAGCCAGTAGGTACACTAAAGGATCCCTCGGGTCATACAACAACCTGGGTTTGGGGCAACAGATCCAACAGTCTTCATATTTCAGGTACCAGATGCTGATATCGGAAATAAATTTGACTTTTACCATGATCTTTCCACATAAGTGACGTAGACCTGTGCAAGGAGAAATTAGGAAGCATAACAGTCCGATTTGCTGGCCAATCTTTATTCTATAGTCTTGGGAAAACACAAATTTTGATTAATTCTGAGTGGCACAGAATTAAGTAATTCAGTGTGTCACTCAAAATTCAGATCAACTTGTCCAATTGCAGTTTATATGGCTTCCAAAATAGAGCAACTCTTGTTCTTGCTCATTCTATGGGAAAACTGAACTTAAGAATCCTACAAGTATTTAGGATGTATCTCAGTCTAAAAGTTATCAGTAAAGTCTCAGAAAGAAGAGAAATACTGTACTGTTATAACAGGTGAACTACAAATAATGGCATTTGCCCCCACACTGGCCTATTATGGACTTGATTTGGTCTCAATGCCCCAAGACCATTTGTTTCTGGGTTCTATTTAATGTTTCATCACTTCCTTTCCTTCAAATAATTCCTATCCTTGTCCTTGGTTGTCACACAAGTCAGCTGAAGGGAGATTTTTGTCTAAGACATATCTCTAGAGATGGTGATTTGACTTGTGTGGTACAAAATGTAATGCTAATTTAATAAACACCATGCCCCAACCACTCCAGACCCTTCTTTGTGGGCATGGTGACCCAGCTCCAGCAGGAACCATTGTTGATGTATTGATCAGGGAGAGCACAGGTGAGGGATAAACTCTATGAACATTTAACCAAACCAGGTCCCAGTGCTCTCTCTCTCTCTCTCTCTCTCTCTCTCTCTGTCTTTCTTTCTTACTCTTTCCTAACTCATTTATATGGGACAATTTTTTAAGGTTTCTGATAATTCTATTTTAGTGTTCAAAATTGTACTAAGATATCACGAGAATTGTGTATTTTAGTGTTCAAAGTTGAACTAAGATATCACAAGAATTGTGTTTCTGTACTTGAGTATTGGATTTTAAATGTCCTACAAAGGTCCATGTTATAATATATGGGCCTCACCATGGGACTGTAGGGAGGCAATGGAACTTTTAGAGGTGGGCCCTGCTGGGGGGGGGGCGCTTTCAGGTCATTGAGGAACTGGACTCGAAGAGGATCACAGGACCCAGCAGTCTTTGCTTCTCTCTCTCTGTTCAGGGACGTGTGGTGAGTGGATTTGCTCTGCAGACAAACATTCCATGTTGATGCAGCACAACAACCACAACATGTGAGGATAACCAAACACAGACAGAAACCTTTAAGTGTGAAGGACAAAGTAAAACCTTCTTCTTTACAAATTGATTATCTCAGATGATTGAGGTACTAATGGAAAACTTTCCAACACAGTAAAATTCTGTGTCACTCACATAATCCCAAAATGGTAATAAGATTAATGAAATGTGAGATCAGACTGATTTCACATTTCCTGTCCCCAGTGTAAGACTTCCAACTTATCTAACACTCTAATTCACTCGTGGATGCAAGATTATCAGTATCAGATGCCATAAACCTGGCGATTCATGTACGCTGAATGGGTAGGATTGGGACACATTAAATTTGTTTATCATCTCATGAATTTTATTAGTGCAAGTGGATTCTACCAAATCTTCTTCATTTCAACAAATTTTCTGTTGGCATTTCTGTAAATCCTCATGAATTCTGATCCTCTAAAGTGTGATCCAGTCCACTCTAGAATTTAAGGAGGTCAAAGCATCATGATATGGGTTGCTTTGCTGTGAGGATGTGAACCTGTGCAGCAGGTTGCAACTTATCAATGACCCATCTGTTCTAGGCACCAGGCACCCTTCAACTTTAACCTTAAAAACAATATAGAAGTTCACTTCATGACAAGCCACAAGGGACAGGAAAGGGCACATCCTCCACAATATACAGATACACAAAGGAGGGAGAAGAGCTGAGATACAGCCTGGGATTTTCTGCAGAAGGTACCCAAGGCTGTCTTTCTGTATTATCAGCACAGCCACAGGTGGCCATATCAGCAGGATACAGGCTGGTCATTGTGAGGAGAACAAGGCTATTAGAGATATAATTGCAGATGGTAGGCTGGCTCTTAAGAGGTGTGTTGCAGTAACAAGTATATATCACCAAATTTGTACTAGCTACTATATGGCCATCACTGCTGTTTGATGTATCCAGCCTACACCCATGTTAGTAGTGGACAGTGAGAAGCCAGAGAAGGAACAGGTCAGCCTGAGAGACTGAGAGGGTGTCAACAGCCCAGGGCCACACTCCTTCAAGGTGACTTGGGACAAAAACCCTGGACAAGAACCCTGTGATGAAACACAAGGAGCAGGTGAAGCATGTTCAGGTGAGGACAGGAAGCTTTCTTACCTGAGAAAGCCCTGCATAGTTCTCACAGGAAGGGAGAGTCAGTAGCAGTAGTGTGGCACACAGCCTGTCCATTATGGCACAGCAATCATGACCCAAGTTCTGTGCTGGGTTTTTCAATCTAGTAGTGCATGGAAGTCAGGGAAATTTTCATTCCTGTCACCTATGTCCTGACCCTAATGGGTGGACTAAGAATTCAGAATCATTGAGGAGACAGGTCTGTAATGAGCTGTATAGGTGCCCTAGGTGAGGGTTCCATGTCTGCTCCTGTCTCTCTGGACCAGTGTCCTCCACACACAATTATTCCTGAATTATTAAATGATTTGGAGACAGTGAGGCTGAGAGGCCCTCGTTGCAGCTAACAGTGTCTTCTCCTTGGATGCTCATTGAGTATCCATTAACCTTGTGTTTTCTTACTAGAGAATTGGAGGAGAGACAAGGAGATGCAATCCTCCTGACTTCAAGCAGCTGAATCATATGTGCCTGGGGGCCATCAGGAGGCTGTTCCTGAGTATACTGTCCTATCTGTGACAAGGAGAAAGAAGGATGAGCAACAGTGAATGGATAATTTTCATTTTCTGTGCAGTCAGGAGCATGCATATCAGTGTCTGCACATGTGTGTAAATCCAGCAGGAAGAGTTCACAGTGACCACACCTGTCCCTGTGCTATCATCCTCAGGACCACAGAGGAAGGCACAAGTGTCTTCCCTCTGCTCAGCCCATGAGGGGAGATATCTGTAGCAGCTGGATGGACTCAGGGGCACAGACGACTGTCCTGGAAACTTCTTCCATAACAAATTTTACTCATTGATCCACAAAACTATGTACAGTGCAGACAATTCATTTTCAGCGTAAGGCAAGGAAGCAATTCCAGAATGGCCATTCAGAAAGATTTGATATGCAGAACTTATTCAATTTGAATTAAAATCATCATCATCAATTGACCTCTTGCTTTCTAACCTGCAGCCTGACATGCCATAAAAATGAATATTCCTGTCAATTTGGAATAGTTATAAAATAACCTATGCAACCTTGTACCCCACCCACAGATTAATGTAAACCCACCAAGCAAATCCTCAAACATGTGACTTCTTTCAGAAGCCTTCACTTTCTCCTGGGGGTTTTCTTTCTTCTACAATAAATTTCACCCTAATTTTTATTTGGGTCACCTGTTTTCTGTAGTTTATCAGTGTTCTAGTCTCTTGTTTGCAAGATGAATCTCCACTCCATAGTAACCAGTGATCTCACTGAGACCCAGAGTCTCATGGAAAAACAGTCACCCGTATCCCATGCATCCTGAGATCTCATCCAGGTGACATGTGATATGTGAGGATATCTTTTATATTTTGTTTTTATTTTAGTATTTGCATGCATTAAAAATATGAGGGGATATCATTATTCCATACATGCATCCAGTGTTCCTTCAAAAAAATTCATCCCCAAATTTTTAAATATCAGCGAAAATCAAAACGTTTTTTATTCACAGAAATCTCACATACAATACATGATAGATCAAGGGAAGATTCTGGGAAAACTATGGACAACGAGGCTGCCTAGACATACTGGAGAACAGCACTTGTCTCATGTCTGCACCTGCTCCTGAGGCTGAAGTAGAGCGCAATGTGTGCTGAGCGCCCCCTGCTGGTTCTGAGCATCACTGAGGAGAGGTTTATGTCAGGGCTCACAATGAAGTCTCCTCACTTTGTCTCTTGCACAGTAATGCATGGCCGTGTCCTCATATCTCAGGCTGTTCATTTGCAGGTACAGCATGTTCTTGTCATCATCTCTGGAGATGGTGAATCTGCCTTTCACAGATGCATTGTATTCTGTGGTGTAACTATTTGCTTTGTTTCTAATGAGTGAAACCCACTCCAGTCCCTTCCCTGGAGCCTGGCGGACCCATTCCATGTAGTCATTTCTGAAGGTGAATCCAGAGGCTGCACAGGAGATTCTCAATGAACCCCCAGGCTGAACCAAGCCTCCTCCAGACTCCACCAGCTTCACTTCACACTGGACACCTGCAAACACACAGAATCCTGGTAAGGAAATGGGAACATACACCCCTTATTCCTCTAATTCATTTCCACTCAGTATCTCTTGTTCTCCATAACTCACCTTTTAAAATAACAAGTAGAAAAACCCAGCTCAGCCACACCTCCATGGTTAGTGATCTGTGTTCAGTGAAGTTCACTGAATGGGATCAGCTGAGAAACCAAGGCTGAAGTACCGACCCAGATCTGCAGGTCAGGGCTGGGATGCTTTATATGGATAGAAGGAAGTCTTATTTGCATGTTCTCTTTCTATATAGTAGACTCTGGGTTGGATGTCAAAGAGAAGCCACTCTTCCTGGCTAATGTGATGTGCTGAATGAAACTAGTAGTCAATGATAACATATAAGAAAGCAATATCTTTATCATGTTTTTCTAGGTGATAATCATGGAATTCTCATTATTTTATTTCAATGCTTATGTGCACATAAATCGTGCATTTTCTTCACATCTCACATTTTACAGACATAAACATAGAAGCAGAAGCAGAAAAGAGCTTGGTAATATGCTAAGAGCTCTTATCTGAAAAAAAGTCAACCATTTGGACCTGTAATCCTTCCCACAGTTCTCAGCTACCCCTGAACCAAATCCAGGGCAGAGATGGACATACTTAGTGATGCTGTCCACACCTTTCATCTGTAGAGAACATGATGTGGTTTTCCATCGTCCTGTGCCTCTGTTAACATAGACCAGCAATGAAGTTTCTTTTGAGCATCTACTCAGAATATTTCACATTTTTCTGTTTTTTTCTCTCACTCTTTACCTAACAAACCATACTGCTGATTATTGGAATAGCTTTAATGAAAGATAATATACATATTATCTTGCATATGTAAATATGTACAATATGATAATGATCCACCAAACCATCACTATTACTAAGACATGGAACAGTAATTACTCCCAGCATTTCCTCTTGTTTTTATGCTCTTGCTCTTTTCTACAAATTCCTTTCTTCCACACCATCCCCCAACAACTCCTAATATTCTTTGTGCCAATTTAATTGGTTTTATTGTTATGCAGTGTAATAGTGGTGTCATAGAATATTTACTTTGGTTTGTGTATTTTACTAGGAAGAAATCTTGCTGTTTGTAGTACATATTTATTTAATGTAATGATTGGAATATATTCAATTAATACATTAAGGGGAATTTGTTTGACAATTTGCCTGCTTTTTGAAAATGCAGGCAGTTGAAATAAATATTTTTTTGCATGCAGTGCAACATAGGCTAAATTGGAGAAGCTAGAAATCATCAAATTTTCTTCACCACTTCAGATAATGGAAATTATAAGCAAGCAACATAAGTGAATCAAATTAGAAAATCACAATATCTTCAGTTACAGACCTGAAAGGATGGTATTCCTCACCCACAAATACAGGCACATTGTTTTTATAAAATGGAGTGGTGATCAACACTGGGCAATTGTGGAATAGTGGATATTGTAAAGTGGAGACAAGGAATCAGGAAAGAAAGAGAGGGGAGACTAGAAAGATCAATCCTCATGGCACTTTATTTGTAAAGAAAGATAAACCAGAGAGAGCTTCCTTACACTCATTTCCAGTGATAATGCAATCTCCTGTTTCAAGGAAAAGTAGCCTGTTTGGTATCATCTATATCATTAAAGTTTAATTGGGTGACTTTAGGAACTAATTAGTTGATATATTACTTGAATTTCTATTTTGAGTGATCCAAAACCTCTATGTTTCTATGTGGAAGTCTGTTCATCCTGAACAAAATGAACATCACTAAATCAACAAGTGTTTTGATTTGCTTGTTTGTGTAGAGGCACAGCACAGGAGCTCATCCTTAAAGTCATATTAGTCAATAATGTATGCTTAATACTTTCCCTGTTTTGGTAATTTTCTGATCGGAGTGAGAGCATGATGAAACCTAAGGCATTGGAAATTCTCCCATCAACCTGAGTTTCCAGTCTCAGCACAGTTTTCATGAGTTAGGATATCCTCATTTCCTTTCAATTGTCTTTCTTTTCAAAGAGGGAACACATGAGTTTCAACAGATACTTGAATGAAAATTGTATTTTTATTAGTGTTCTTTTTACTGTTTTTCTAAATTCTATTAGGATAGATCCATTATATGTAGGAGGATTCAGAGTGACAATTGCAATTATCCTTATATTATATATTATTTACATTGCCCCCATCATTATGCCCTCTAAGCCTCCTCCCACCTCCCTTAAAGCAATTCCAAGAGGTTTTATTTACTTCTGTTATATAGATATATGAAGTCCATCAACCATATGCTGTCATCTTAACCTCCACCCTTCACTCTCCTGCTTCTCACTAGTACCATACACTGTGCTTATTTTCGGCATCTGGAGGGTTTTTTTTTTTTTTTTTGGTTAAGGTTTTAATCCATTGCATCCCTGTGATTGGAGTTTTGGGGTTTTTCCTCCTGGATTTCCAACACTTTTCCTCAGAGACTAGTATGCAGGAAGTGTTACCCCTTAGAGGGTTCTTGTTGTGTTGCAGATCACCTCTTTTCTCCCCTCAGTGAGGGAGCTGAGGTTTTACCCTTTCATGGGGAACCAGGGACTCTCCTGCAGTCAGAGGGGGAGTGGTGTGTCTCTGTGCACTGTGGTAGGCAGACCTAATAGCATCTGCAGAGTAGCAGAATACAACTCAGTGGAGGAGCTAGAATTTGAGCTCCTGGACAGGAGAGATTGAACTCCCCAGCATGTAGGCACAGTAGGATGTGCTGGTCCTCTGTGCAACTTGGGTGGCAGGCCTCCTGACAGCTGCAAAGTAACAGGTTGCCACACAGTTGAGGAGCTGTGATTCCAGCTCTTTGACAGGGAAGATCAAACTCTCCCATAGTCAGGTGTGGTGGGAAGTGCTGGTTCTCTGAGAACCTTGGGATGCAGGGCTCTGGTCCCAACCACTGAGTAGCATGTTACAGCTTTCCTTCTTTCTGTGGGGTATCTGACTTTTCTGTTCTTTAATGGGAACTCTCCCACTGTCAGCCACAGTGGAAAGCACTGGGACTCTATGCATTTTGGGAGGCAGGCCTCCTGGCAACTGCAGAGTAGTTGAATGTCATTTAGTGAAAGATCTGATAATCCAGGTCTTGTACAGGGAAGATTGGACTCTACTGAAGGCACTCGTGGTGGGATATACTGGGCCTGTGAGCTCCTTGGGGATGCGTGTCTTCTTGTGAGGCTCACTGAACAGCAGGCTATAGCTTTCCTCCCCTCCATGGGGAATATAGTTTTCTCTTCTTTAAAGGAGACATGGAGTCATTCACATCATCAGGCATGGTGGGAAGTGCAGGAACTTTTTGCACCTTAGCTCAACAGGTCTCCTGGCACCCAGAATGTAGAAGATTACACTCAGACAGGGATCTGTTTTCCTGCTATTTGAGAGGTAGTAAGGGCACTCTTACAGGAGGACTTGCTGGTGATCGTGGGACCTCCATTCTCTGCAGGGAGGTAAGCCTCTAGGTAGCAGTAGAATAGCAATATTTGGACACTGGGATTCACTTGATGGGTGGAAGAGAGCTCCTATCACTGAGTAAAAGTTGACAGTGTCTGTGGGCAGTAAAGCAGTGGCCTTGAATCTTCTGGTGCCCCAGTCAATAGAGGCCTTGGGATCTACTCATGGTGGGACATGGGCTTCCAGAAACCACAGCAGGTGCTGCAGATACAGAAGAACCATGCATTTGGGTAATGGGAGTTCTGTGGCCTGTTTGTTAGGCACAGACTTCCAGGAGACACAGCAGTTGCTGCTGGCATGGAGAGACCAAGCCTCCTGGCTTGTGCCTTCTGTTACACATTGGAATAGTGGGATCCCTGGGGCCTGCTTATGCAAGGGCACGGGTTCCTCTGGTGTTTCAGTGTGAGAGGTAGTAGCTTGTATATCAGGGGGAAGAATGGAGTTCTGAGTTCCTGTGTGTGTTGGCATGCCAGACTTTCTGTCAAGTGCAGATTAGGGAAGCCATGTGGAGACTTTCTGGGCATGGGATCAGGAGTTTTGAACTGTGATTCATTTGTTCTGTTCTTACCATGGTTATTTGTCTCTCTTTTTGTATATTCAGATATGGCTTTCTTTCTTGCTGGTTATGGTACTTCATGTGTGCCTTTTGAACTCCCTGATCTTCCATCTTCAGGTAGTTTGTCACTAGTGGGGTTTTGGGGTGTCAACAATCTGCCATATTGCTCAATCATCTTCAACTGATTTCAAGCAGAAGAGTAAAATTAACGGTTGTTAAAAAGTTTCTCCTCTCATAAACAACTAAGTAGACAAAAATGTAATTCAATATAAAATTGTAATTTCTGCAACTCCTGAATAAGAAGGCACTGCTTCCTATTTTATTTTTAAATCAATACAGAAAATGTGAAATGTTCATACATTTACTAATAAATGTTTCATTATTGTCTAATTAATCTACATTGTTTTGAAACACTGGTCATCATTGTTCTATTTGAGCGAGGCTATTAGAGAGTTGTGCACTTTCTTTTCTCTTTTTGGTACATCAAGCTTTTCTTTTATAAAACTTCAATTTTATTTATCCCATAGAATACACATATTTTTATATCTGTATTTGTATTGATTGATACTGCATGTGGATTTCATTGAGATAATTCCTTACATGGTTACAGTATATTTTGAACAAGTTCATATTCTCTATGAATTTCTCTTTCACATCTTGCTATATCTTCCTAATTTTACCTATTTATATATCTGTATTATGTTTTGATTTATTCAGATAGTTTTTCATGTCTTCTTTAATGTCATTGGTAATTCTTACAACTGTTATTTATCTGAAATTTCATCCACTCACTATCATTAGAGTTTATTTGCAATAATTCTTGTGTTCTTGTCTTGGAATTTGCACTGAAGGTGCCAAGATTTGTGACAGGTCTTTGTAATTTTTCACCCAATAACATGGGTAAAGCACAGAAGCCAAATATTTTTGCAAGATGCTCAATAGAGATATGGGCAAACTTGCAGCAAATCAGCTAAAATTGACTGACTTGGCAAGTACCTGCCATGTCTGCCTGTGGACTGTCCTCTTGAGTACATGTGCTGGAGTCTTGTTCTCAGAGACCTGGTACGACTTGGGGGATTTTAAGAAGTGAAAAATACTGGGAATCC